CATAGAATTGAAGATCAAAGTTTCCAAAATCTTAATGGGCAGATGTAGACTTTTATGATAATTGTATCAAAAAGGGAATACAAAAATAAAAACAAAAAAAACGTTCCTAAATAATTCAGTCGTCAGGAGTCTAGCCTCCTTAAGTGGATTCTATTTCTTCTACAGAAAATGGCCTCCAGAGGACGAGCGATTCTATGCACCATTCACCAGCCTTCATCGGAGCTGTATAGTATGTTTAATCAGTAAGTCTTCAGTGATCACCATCGGACTTTAGCCAGATAAACAATAATAAGAGTCAAGGGCGGTTCGTTCACGGGGCAAGACCGGCGGAGCTGGCACTTTTTGTCGGCCAGATAGAGGACATGAGAGATTTATCGCTGTTACTTTTTTTTTACGTCTTAAGTAAATCCACTCTATTATATCAATATTTAGAATAAAAAAACACCGCCGATTTAGAAGCGCTCCAAAAAAAAAAGATAAGGGTTCACTGATGTGTTGTCGTATTACAGAGACTCTTTCCCCCCCTTTCTGTTTTATGTGATAAGGACATGAAAAATTATGTTCACAGTGCAAGAACTAAATTAGTATCTCATGTTTGCTTTAATTAAGACATCACCGATTTCTCACCGGTCTTTTGTGTTAAAAATATCATTTACAGGATTCTTCTCTTGGCTGAAGGCAGGACAGCGTTCCTGGGGGAGCCGAATGCAGCGATGGAGTTCTTTGAAAAGTGAGAAAGCTGAGGTGGTATGGAAACAGGGCCTACTACTTTTTCATTTCTTTCCTACAAAAGAACAAACAAACAAAAAACTACAACTTCAAACCAAATTAGTACTGTTATTTGGGGAACGCGATTACTTAAAAAATTGGCAACTTCTGTGGTTTGTTTGAAATACATGTAGTGTTGGGTATAATGTAGCATTCGCTTCTGGTCATGATCTTTACAGTTACTGCAAGGACGTACTGAAACAAGGAAACATAATATCTTCCAAAAAGTCCTAAAAGCTTTTAGAAGCTGACGTGTGCCCCACCCTTTACATCGTAACTTGTGGCGAGAAGAAGAGCTAAGGGACACAAAGAATAAGAGCTAAGGGACACAAAGAATAAGAGCTAATGGACACAAGACAAAAGAGTAGATTTGTATATAATTTTTCATCTGAAACCATTCATAATGAAGAAATACAAAATGCCTAACCCAACGTCCTGTTGTTCACCCAATCTTAACACCTTGTTAATCCTGGTATAAAAAAGGAATCATCAAAGTTTAGACATATGCACAAATTCTACCAAATTTTAACATTCAGCAATGATTGATTTATTAGAAAGAAACTCATAGATCAACATTTAGTGAGCATGGCAAAAATTCCACAACAATATAATATAACAAACACTATATCACTGTTTAAAGAGATTTTTAGGTTTGTCATCAACGGATGTAGACAACAATAACCAATGATATTACAGCAATCATCATGACAACGTACATCGTGATAAAGCAAGATAGAGCACAAGTAAGTAGCTAAGCGATTGTATGTCCATTCTTGAAAGCACAAAAACACAACATAACATTTCCTTTTCCTTCTCTATCGAAATCTGGAAAAAGATTGATAAGTCACCCTTGCTTTTTATTCCTTAGGATGCAGAGTCCATGTCCCCGAAACTTCAATCCTGCAGACCACTACATCCTCACGCTTGCTATTGTTCCTGGCAAGGAGGAAGAATGTCGGGAGAGAACAAGGGTCAGTGATGCTATCATACCTGAGTTGTTATAAATGTTTTAAGGAGTCAGACTTTTCAAAGAGAGAGAGAGAGAGAGAGAGAGAGAGAGAGAGAGAGAGAGAGAGAGAGGAGGGGGAGAGAGAGAGAAGAGAGAGAGAGAGAGAGAGAGAGAGAGAGCGGGGGTAGGGGTGGGGGCTATTTTCGAAAGTGAAATTTTAATTCTTTAACAGAGGCTATGTAAGAACTCGAATCGCTCGCATACGAAACAAATGCGAGAATATCTTAAACCGCTTAAAAAAAAACTATTAGTAAGATTCCGCTATACTATACAGACTACTCCCCCCCCCCCCTCTTTTTTTTGTACATACCCATACTTTGACATAAACTCACACATACACACGCACACACATATACACATACTTACACACACATACACACACACACACACACACACACACACACACACACACACACACACACGCGCGCGCACACACACACATAGACACATACACTCGAGAGAGTGAGAGGGTAGTTTAAAAGCGAAGTAATTTTGGGGATGACAACGGTTTTTCAGTGAATTCAGATTAAAATGTTGAATATCTTCTGTACGTTTTATTCATCGACTGGCAAGGGATTATTTCATTTAAGGAGTAAACAAACAAGGTCTGAACTAGAGCAACATAGATTTTAGGCGCCCTTGGCTTCTTAGCAGAAGACAAGTACCCAAGAAGTCCTTCTAGAAATTTCTTTATTAACGATCAAAAGAGAAATTTCTATTTAGTTTCTTAAGCAAGCCATTTCTTCTGTTAGTCTTTTTTGAATTCCATACTACTCTCCGAGTTTTCTGTATTTTCCTTTTATATCTTTAGGCCATCTGCGACGCATTCTCGGACTCGGAGGGAGCCGCACAGATAACTGAAGAAGTTAGAGACCTGGAGGAGAGGGCGAGAACCATCAGACATGATCCTATTGTAAGTCTCTGCCATCACCCCACAACTTCTCCCCAAAGCGCATACATGCACAAACACTCTCTCACACACACACATATATACACACACACACACACACACACACACACACATGCATGCTCACACGCACAAACACTCTCTCACACACACATATATATACACACACACACACACACACATGCATGCTCACACGCACACACTCACATACACGCTCACACGCACACACGCACACACACACACACACACACACACACACACACACACACACACACACACACACACACACACACACACACACACACACAATGCACAGGTCATGAACTTCTCAGGATGAAAAAAACACCCATACATACAAGTCACATGCACAAGTAAAAAATAAATATATAACTATAGTGTTAATTAATTTCACAAGAAAGTCACACACATCCTCGAAAATTAACCAACTCGAGACAAATGTTTCCCGGAGCTATAGGCGTTTAAGTCGAGCCTGAAGCGAGAGAGGAAACTAGTCATTTCCTGTGGCGTTAAAAGACAGCTTAGCTGAACTGTGTGTGTCAGTGTGGGTAAATCAGTTGTTGTTGTTTTGTTGTTGTTGCTTGTGTTTTTTTGCTTTCTTTTATGGATAAAAAAAGCCTAAGACCACACTCTTTAACGAATTCTGGCCAAAAGACGTATTCATTGCCATAAAAAATTAAAGAGGTGAAAGGGGTAACGTTTAGAAGCGCATTCTAAATCAGTGCTTGTCAACCAGCGCCCACATTTGCCACCGAATATTTTTGTACCGTCCATCCACAAACTGCAAGTATTTCTAAGAGGGGCAGTAAATAAATAATACCTGACACTATCCGGGCAATCCACAGGCCTACTGCCCTCCAAAATTACCAAACCGCCCACCAGTTGGCGTTTTCACCCAGGTTGGCAAGCACTGTTCTAAGTAGTGGACGCTTTCTATATGGGGGAATATCGTGAAGATTTGTTCATTATATCATTAATATTATGATCATGTTTCTCTTTCTTTTTTACAGTTGGACGAAGCATCTGCTGGGGAGTCCAGGTATAGTGATAAACTTTTGTTCGTTAATATAGCAGCAGATGTTTCTGTGTTGTCCTGAAACTTCTTGAACCTCTCGTTGTGAAAATAAATGTTTGCTCTCCATTCGGAGCTTACTTGATCCAGTATGCCCATCTAGGCTCTCCAATCTCTGTGGGACCATTTGTGGGTCACCGCAAAGTCCGAGTGAAAGACGCTTTTAACTTCAATTTTTTTCAATGGGGTGGAGTGGGGGGGGGGGGTATTCAAAACTCTTCCCTCAGAATTCTAAAAACAACATGAAGAAGGAGCCAGAAGTTTTCATCGCCAACGATATGTTTTATTTGATTGGTACGGATATTTGGAATTATCTACCACTGTCAGAACGTTTGAAAAACAGGAAAGCAAGCGTAAGGTATAGAAAACGCGGCAAAATGAACATTTTAATACTCTAATTTGAATATTTTTAGCCACGAGATTCAATCACCTAAGTGACAACATTTCTGAAAATGACGTTTTAATCTCTTTAAGTCCTACACTCTTTTCTGGAAATGTATCTATTATAATCCCCACTGCGGGTGTGAAACGGGAATATTATTATTATTTATCCTACAACAAATACTACAAATACTGTACCACAATAAATGCAAATATTATTAGAAATACAGTTTGTCTTTACATCTTTCTTGCCGTATAGTATTTTTTTTCGTCTGTTCCTTGTGTTTGCAGATACGCGTCTTCTTGGTTCACCCAGTTCCGATACCTGTTCTGGAGAAGTTGGATTAACACTTTCAGAGACGTCATTCTGTTTCGTGTTAGGATCATGCAAACATTTGTGAGTGTTACACTTTTACCGGTGCCTGTTAAATGATGAAAATACCGAGGTCCACACTACCAATTCATTTAATTTGAGTGGGTCGGGTCGAGCCTGATTTTCATTTATGGATGTGGCAAAAGCTGTCATTCGACTGAATTGGACTAAAATCGGCTGTGATCTTCAAAATCAAACATACTTGTTTTTCAATGTCGAAAACTGAATCTGTCGTATTGTGCCAAAACGGACAATCTGGCTGGCCCTGGTTGAATTAAATAAATCAGATTAGCAGTGTGCACCTCGTATTAGGCTCGTCATGGTTACCAGCAAAAGGTGTGGGTTCGGTTCTCCAGTGAGGAAGTCTATTTCATTGAGTGCATCCGTCTTTCTGTCAGGACACAATATTATTCTAATCAGAGCGATTCGTCCCTGACTGGCAGCAATAAAGCAGCAAACCTCCGAAATAATCTAAATAAATATGTAAAAGGTGGCAAAAATATTTTCATTCAATCACTTCACTTTTTAGAACGATCTTAGACAATGCCTTGTAATCGTTAATTCATTGAGACTTCAGATCCAATTCCATCTTTACACATCACGAATCATAGTATTTTTATTTGTATATAAAATATTTGTTTTAATGAACATGTTCAAGAATAATATTACACAATGTAATGTACTGTCAAATGGTGTCATAAAACTGTGCAACAATATGTGTGCCACAGACGGTAGCAGTGATCCTGGGACTCGTTTACCTGCAGCTAGACATCAGCCAGAAAGGTGTCCAGGACATCAACGGCGCCATCTTTCTTCTCATCACCAACACGTCTTTCTCCAACATGTTTGCAGTCGTCAATGTAAGTTAACCCATTATATAAAACAATACTAAAATACTTTCGTATTGTAACATAACAATGCCTAAATGACTGTCTCATTAGAATAAGACAATGTTAGCATTGTTCTTTTAATAATGAAGCAGTACTCTAACATTTCCCCACAAAGTGTCAACTTTGTACTGCATAATGCCGTCATGGATGCCTTGAAAGGTGATTGGGGATGGGAAAAGGGTGTGTGTTAGTTACTGCCTGCTAATGCTAAACACTCTTGCTTGTGAAGTGACTCTCATAGAGCTTCGGGGAGGCCTAGAGGAAGAGAAAAGGATATAAATCTTGAAACAAGTAAAAGAAGAACGTAAATATTAAGTATCAGATTGCAGTGTAAAAAGGGTTGAGTGGTAAAAGGGGAGGGGTTGGACTGAATAGATTTGGTTTTATAAACATGTTTTAATCTAACAGAAGAGCTGAGTAGGTACTTATTATGCAAGTGTAACGAGAGTGTAACAGGATCCATCCTCATAGAATAACAGACTGAAGTCAGGGCACCAGGTAAATGCATGCATAGGCCTACTCACTGTGGCGTACTAAAGGCAGATAACTCACTAACTCTCTTTCCCTGATCGATCAACAGTCGTTTCCCTTGGAGCTTGGCATCTTCATTCGAGAGTACGGGACGGGCTTGTACAGAGTCGATACCTACTACCTCACAAAGACATTTTCTGAGGTATGGACATTTATATATTTTTGTTTCTTTTTACAAGTGATCTGGGTGTTAGAATCCTCTATGTCCCAATACTTCCCTTTTCTGTCTTCGTTCTTCAGCTGCTTTTAGTTTGCTGTTAAGCTCGTCTAAAAAAATTAAGCCCCATGTGATAACTCTTGTCTTCTGGTTGATTAACGGAGCTTGTCGTGTTGCGCTGTTTTCTATGTCTTTTGTAGTGCCTATTGAGCCTAAATTCCTTGGCGTTCTCTGAACATGTTGGTCAGTTTACTCTCAAATTACCCAACCGGACTTTTTAGATTATAAAACACCAGCATTAGTTTAATTCATCGGTCGTTCGTCATTGCAGAAATCTATTGTAAAACGAACTATTCGTTGGTCACCCATTTTGTAGGAACAAGATGTAGCGTCTGAGAGTCAACCAGTGAAAGGAACATCTAATTATTCTTTATACGATCAGAACAGATATTCTTATATTTTGACTTTCGATGGGAATTTTGAAGCTTAAATAGTACTATTCGGAAAGGAGACCTATATTGTGATGTTCACGTCGACATTGTGCTCTTCACAATTTTTCAGCGTCAAGGAAAAAAGTCCTTCTAAAATGACAATGATAATAACGATTATTCTTTTGACAGCGCACGTCCCCGCTCCACAGCTAGCTCTGTGCTCTTTGCACTATAATGTTACCTCGACAGACCCAAGAACACTCAGAAAAAGTCTCATCTTCACGTGTAGCATACGGCGTGAGAAAACACAAAAAAACTGGACAAAATCTTTCGCTGTCCATAGCCGGGTACCCATTCCCACGTTGTGTTAATAAATAATTGCCTTTCCCTGGACACAACGTCGGCCTCTGACGGCTTTTCAAACCTCGACCTTACGAGAGCCTAATATCTAGGTATACATACATGTATATCCCGTTTTGTACAATAAGTCCACCGCTGTGTTCTGCGGACAGCTGGTGACTAGCAACAAAAGCATAAAGGAAACGCAGTGGATTAGCCTGTTTTCAGCTGTTTCAAGGCTTAAGATCCTCATTAGTAAGGAAGTCTCTACCAAGGCCCAGATGGTCCTTTTTTTTTCTTCATGGGGAAGTCTTTTGACCTTTGGTGGCCTTGGTGTTTACATAGTTGTGGTTCCTTTGTGATATTGACTTTTATTCTGTCCCTGGGATTGTCCACTTGGGTTGTTTTTGTTTTATTGTTTTATTTTTTTCCACTATTCCATACATATAGTTCTCCCAGTACATTACCATTGCATATGGAAGTCGATTCACATACATACTTACAAAAATACAAAACACTTATGTGTATGTGCTCGGACATTACATACTTTTATCTATATTTCGAAAGCAGAGGTCATTTGAAAATCTCTACCTTGTGTGACACTCAAATGGCACTTCCATCAGATCATGGATTTCCGCTTTGTAAACGATTGAGCTGGCTTAAAACTATCTGTTAAGATTTAATGGGTAGTGAAATATTAAAATCCTGAAACCTGTACGTTTACCTTTTCTCATCGCATCTTTGTCTCTCAATCATCTTGATCTCCCCTTTATGATATCGAGCGTCTTCCAACATTCTCAGTTTGCTGCTCTTGGTTGTACTATTTGTTGCGAATTATCTAACCGGTGCATTGTTATACAGCGAGAAAGAAACAGAGACAAAAAGGTGAGAGAAAGAAGAAAGGAAGAAGACTCACAGGAGAGAAAATGAGAGAGAGAGAGAGAGAGAGAGAGAGAGAGAGAGAGAGAGAGATAGATAGATAGATAGATAGAATGGGGAAAACGGAGATATATATATATATATATATATATATATATATATATATATATATATATATATATATAGAGAGAGAGAGAGAGAGAGAGAGAGAGAGAGAGAGAGAGAGAGAGAGAGAGAGAGAGAGAGAGAAGGGGCGATAAATAGAGAGAGAAAGGGCGATAAATAGACACAGAGAGATCGATAGATTTACGTCAGACAGACAGACAGACAGACAGACAGACAGACAGACAGACAGACAGACAGACAAAGATGATTATGAGAGAGACAGAGAGACAAAAATTCGGGCATAATGGCAGGGGAAAGAAAAGGGAGGCGTTAGTGCAGGGGGCTTTGTATTTTAGTGTGAAGGCAGAATCGGAAACGGTAAGTGGTGCTTCTAAAAATGTGTGCAGAGCGGTGCCAGACATTTTTTCCCCTCCTTGAGTGGGTTCCTGTTTTATCTCTTTCCGTTTGGAACACTCAGACATTCGGATATGGCTTGGAGTCTTACAGAATATTTCCATATTTATTTTAGTGGGTGGTTGGAGGACACAACAAAGACCTGCTGGTCCTATTCCTTTTTTTTCCCTGTGTTGTGATTGTTGCGTTGTTTTACTTTTCTTCCTAGCAATGAATGGCAGTTTTTGGGTCAATGTGCCTCCGACAACAAGAGAATAATAACCTATCTTTGGTGCGACCATAAAGTTGACATAATTCTTTTCACCGAAACATCAGCTTCCGCTTTAATATAGGCATGCATGCAAACGTGAATACAAAAAATGAGCTAAACATCACAAATGGGTAACCAAACAAGTTGTGATGTTTGTGTAATTGTTTTATGGATTTGAGATCCCAATAAATGTGTAGCTTTTTACAATGTGCATGGTCAGCGTTACGTTACAAATTACCGTCGTGATATTATTCTTATGAATGATACAAAACTACATCAAGAACCCAGTTCTCCATGAAAGCCAATAAACCATTATCCTGTGACTTTATTTATGAGCAATGAAAACAGGGCTTTGAAGTACAACTTTGCTTCTTCCGTGTAATATGTCGTGTTCTAACATAATCACAAATGACACTTTACAAACTACTTTGGTGCAACACTCAACCTGGTCACATGGTCACATGGTTTAAAGGCCCTCAATTTTACCAGTTTCGCATCCGACAAATAGATGTTGGCGGAAACACAATATTCACCATACCTGTCAGAATAGATTTCTGAGGTCTGTCGGTGCTTGGGTAAACAGGAGGGATGGGTGTTTCCTTTAGTGTGTACTTAGAAATGAGAGGTAGAGAGAGAGAGAGAGAGAGAGAGAGAGAGAGAGAGAGAGAGAGA